ATAAAGATAATTATAAAAATAAAATAAATAAACGCTTGATAAAATCCTTTCTGATATTAGTCCTGTTTACGATCATATTATTCTTATGGGAGATTTCAATACCTGCCTTATTAAAAACGATTCTCGCTTCAACAAACTTCTGACTTTGGTATCTTCCTTTAACCTTCACACTCTTCCCCTTCGTGCAACTCATCACTGCCCTAACTGTAACCCTTCTTTGCTTGATGTTATGATCGTTTCTTTTCTGGATAGAGTAATGTCTCATGGGCAAATTACTGCATCTTTTTCATGTCATGAATTTAAACAGAAATCCCAATACTTGTTCCTTCGTAATTATAAGGGTATAGATCTAGAGGCATTGCAGCGTGATGTAAGTTATATTGATTGGGCCCCTATTGTTGACAATACTAATATTAATGATAAAATTTGTAATTTTAATGACAATTTTGAACATATACAATAACCATGCCCCACTTAAACACGTAAAGATAAAGCGTAACACTGCACCATGGATTACATTTGGTACAAGGGAGCTAATGGGTCAGAGGAGCAAAACTAAGCGAAGGTATAAACGTCTGCCATCTGAAAATAACTTAAATCGTTTTAAAGATTTATGAAACCGCTGCAGTCGTCTGAGTCGGGATGCTAAATAGCGCTACTTTTATGATTCTCTCCATAACCGAAATTCTACTGAGATGTGGAAATTCCTTCGTTCTGTTGGTGTCGGCAGGCCTTCGAATTTAGAATGCAAAGACATTAAAGTACATGATCAAAATAAACATTTTGCTACTCCTCCTAAGAATTTAGATCCCTACATCAAATCCAACACATTACTCACATTGTCGCGTAACCTGAAACCACACGTTTTCCCTTTTCAACTTTCGCTTGTGACGGAGGAAGATGTCAAAATATCAATCCAAGCCATCTCTTCAAATGCTGTTGGTCACGATGGTCTATGCTCGAAGATGATTATGCCAGTTCTACCTCTACTTCTTCCAATTCTTACTCACATATTTAATTTCTCCTTATCATACTCATCTTTTCCTTCAGTTTGGAAACAAGCATATATAATTCCTTTACCTAAGTTTTTTAATCCTTCTTCTCTTTCTCACTTTCGTCCCATATCTATTTTACCCTTTCTTTCTAAAGTTCTGGAACACATTAGCCATAGGCAACTTTCTTTCTTCTTATCGTCTAACTCTTTGCTTTCTATATATATATCAGTCGGGCTTTCGTCCTGGTCACAGCACCGTCACTGCTTTACTTAAAGTAACCGATGATATCCGTTGGGCCATGAGCAAAAAATCTCTTACACTTCTAGTTTTGCTTGATTTTAGCAGTACTTTTACCTCAGTAGACTTCGATATTCTTCTCGGGATTTTGGAATCTATAAACATTTTTCCATCTGCCATTGCGTGGTTTGATTCGTATCTTCGAGGTCGCTCGCACTGTGTCCGTCTTAATGACACTCTTTCCGATTGTTCTGGTATCCCTATGGGCATACTTCAGGGTGGCGTTTTTTCTCCTCTTTAATTTTCTATGTTTATTAACTCTGTTACGACAGTTATTACTTCTAATTTCCACCTTTACTCGGACGACTTACAGCTGTTTCGTCCTTTTCTGATGTGTGATACAAATAATGCAATTGAGGTCATGAATGCGGATCTGAGCCGCATCTGTAAATGGTCTGCATCCTTTGGACTAATGTTTTAATCCCACTAAATCATAGGCCATCATAATAGGCAGCAGGCATTTGCGTAATAAATTGAAATTTACATCAATACCTAACGTTTGCTTTAACGGCGTTCCTATAGCCTGTTACTCTTAACTCTTAACGAAATCTTTCTCACTCTTATACTACCACTGCTTGATTATGCTGACGCCTGTTATTTGGATGCTACAGAGGAGTTCCTTAGCAAACTCGAGCGCTTGCAAAATCAGTGTATCCGTTTCATATTTGGGCCCAAAAAATTTGACCGAATATCTCAGTTTCGCAAGCAACTCAAGTGGCTCCCAATTCGACTTCGTAGGAAAAATCGATTGTTATGTCTCCTCTATAACATCCTTCATAATCCATCTTCTAACTCATTCTTCAGAAGCCGATTTTCCTTCACCTATTCTCCGGATAAACCATGCCGATCCCTTGTTAAAACTCTTCTTAAATTTCCCGCCCATAACTCCGGTGTTTACTCTTACTCCTTTTCTATCCACGTAGTTAGATTGTAGAAGTCACTATCGCCTAATATAAGAAATTCTGAAACATTATTGGTATATAAAAAACGTGTTAGAGATAATTTCTTTGCATCCTGTTAATTAATATATATTATTTTATTATATTAGTATTAGGTTTTATATATTATATGTTCCTATTGTATGTATTATTTTTATTTATATTATCATTTAATAATATAATTTAGGTATGTTTTTGTATATTATTTACAGTAGTATTAGTATTTTACGCACTAAGTTTGCCCTTTTAAATATATTTTCCTTTTTGGGTCTATTTCAGCAAATTATGGAATAAGTAGAACCTCTGTACAAACTCATTATACGACTGTTTCTGTATCTTGTTATGTGTACATAAATAAATTTAAAAAATTATGCTATATTAAGGTTTTAAAATAATCAGGGATGGCATTTATTTAATCGAAACGCACGATGCATCTCTTCCTTTACTACTGCCTCTTTTTATTGTTCCGCACACTTCTTCCGCTGCACTTACCATTCCATCCCTAAGGTTCTGCCAAGTTCTTTCTACACATTCTTTTCTGCCATCGATGGTTTCAAGCTTTTCGGCTACCCTCGCATGATATTTGTCCCTAGTATCCGCTTCCTGAAGCTTCCAGCTTCGGATGCGACAGACCGACTGTGGTTCTGTTACTGCCGTCCGGTAGCGCCAACCCGCGAACAGACCCCTAAATCTAGTAATCACTAGATAGTGATCCGTTTCCAGGTCAGCACCCCTAAACACTCGCGTATCCATCACCTGTTTTCGCAGTCGGTCATCCACCAGGAACAAATCAATCATACTTCTCTCATTCTTTCGTTCTCTAGTATACATATGGATTTTCTTGTGATTAAAAATAGTGTTTGTCACAAGAAGACCCTTTTCCTTGCACACCGCCAGTATAAGCTTGCCAGCATCATTAACCCTTTTATCGCCAAACTTTCCAAGTACCGACTCGTACCCTGGTCGAGCGGTACCAACCCATCCATTCAAATCACCACATACAACAATTCTTTCGTTTCCCCTAGCCAAATCTAGAACTTCTCTTACATTCTCCCAAAACTCCTCCAGCTCAGCCCTGGACGACGAAGCTACCGGCGCATAAACAGCCAAAAGGAATAACTTCGTCAGTCCCAATTTAAAGCGAACGCAGAGAAGTTTTGAGTTCACAACCTTATATTCAGTCATAACATCGACCAACCGAGAAGACAGCAGCACCCCCACTCCCTGGCAGGCGTTCTCGCTCTCCGGGACTCCTGACCATAGAGATAACGCCCCGCCAGGGAGCTCTTCAGTACCACTGCCCTTCCGTTTGGTCTCCGACATACACACGACATCTAATTCTCTTTCTTTCATTATTTCGATCAACTCATTCGTCTTATCTCTCATGCCTCCTCTAACATTCCACGTGCCAACTCTGCACTCTGTCCTCCACCTTCCGCCGTGTCGGGCTGTGCGTGACGGGTGGCGGTCCCCATCGCCGCTTTGCACGCTGCATTCCACACCAACGGGGACGAGCTGGTGTGCGTCGCCTTGGGGGGGGGGGCCTTACCCTCGTTGGCATGGGTGCGCAGCTAGTAGAATTGCAGCCCTGAAAAGGGCTGGCAGGGGTCGCGACGAGCACGCTTCTACAATGACCCCCAAGTGAAGTGAAAGAAGCTGTAAAGAAGAAGAAGAAAGCATGGTTAGACTACTTGGCCTCTAGTAATGATAAGGATATTAGAGAGAAGATGAAAGAAAGATATAGGCTGCAGATAGTTCACACGAAAGCACTGATTGAGGAAGTGCGTGAAAGGTGTAGAATGGAAGCGGACGAAAGGTTGTCGCACAACTTTAAGGAGAACTCCAAACTCTTCTGGAAAGAGGTTGGAAGGACCCGAAGTGGTGCGACGGCCTTAAGAATGAACAAAGTGCTTTCGAGAACTAATGACGTCCTCTCAGAAAAATCGGACGTCATGCAGCGATGGAGCGAATTTTATAGAGAAATGTATGCGTGTGATGATCTTAGTGAGGGATCCGGGGATGACGCCGTGACTGGTACGCCAGACCCGGACCTCGATGACACTGAGGTCATCAGGATGAAAGAGATTGAACGTGCGATTGAAGTTTGAAATGTGGTAAGGCTGCGGGACTAGACAGAGTTACTGCTGAAATGGTCAAGTATGGTGGGCCTCGCGTCTGGGACAGCTTTCATCTGCTGTGCAATTTGTGCTGGCGGACGGGGGATGTCCCGGATGATTGGCGATCCGCAGTCATTGTGTCTTTATATAAAGGTAAAGGTTCACATTTTGACTGCGGGTGCTATCGGGCGATCAGCTAGACCAGTTTAGCAAGTAAGGTTTACTCGAAGGTTTTGACACGTAGGATGCAAGAGAAATCGGAAAGATTTCTATGGGAGGCACAATGCGGATTTAGACCTGGAAGAGGATGCACGGATCAAATGTTTTCTCTCCGCATGATCACGGAGAAGCTTCTGGCTGCTAACCAGAAGATTTTCTGTGCTTTTGTGGATCTTGAGAAAGCATTTGATAAGGTTGTAAGGAAGAAAATGTGGGAACTGTTGCCGGGGTATGGTGTGGATGGTCGATTGCTAAGGGCTGTGCAGTCTCTTTACTATGACTGTAAAGCCTGTGTGCGGGTCGGACATGACCTGTCACCCATGTTTAACGTCCAAACGGGCGTAAAGCAGGGTTGTGTCATGTCTTCCTGGCTGTTCATACTGTATCTCGACAGCTGTTTACAGAAGCTGAAAGATAGTTGTTTGGGTGTGAAATTGGGTGACATTAAAGTAAATTGTCTGCTGTATGCTGATGATGCAGTGCTTATTGCACCATCAGAGGCAGAACTGCAGGCATTAGTCACGTGTATGAAAGAGGAATGTGAAATTAAAGGTCTCCGTTTGAATGCTAATAAAACTAAGGTTCTGGTATTTGAAAGGGACGAAGAGAAAACGAAGTGTGAAATATGGGTAAATCAGGAATGTCTAGAACAGGTTAATGAAATTGTATACTTGGGGAGTGCTTTTAGCCGGGACGGAAGATGTGATTTAAATGTGGACAGGCGTGTCGCTGCCGGGAACAAAGTCAATGGTGCCCTGACTGCGTTAGTCAAAAGGCAAGGCGTAGCGAAGAGTGCACGCCTTGCAATACATAACGCAGTGTTGGTACCGACTTTGTTATATGGCAGCGAAACCTGGGTATGTCAGAAGAAGCATAAAAGTAAGTTGAATGCAGTGGAGATGCGATCTCTTCGTAAAATGTGCGGCGTTACCATGGCCGACCGAAAGCGAAAGGAAGAGATTCGCAATATGGCAGGTTTGAAAGATGACCTTATCACAAAAATTGATAAGGGCGTGCTTCGGTGGTTTGGGCGCGTTGAGCGAATGAGTGAAGACCGAATAGTGAAGAAAATATATAGCGCGAAAGTTAATATTAAAAGGTGTCGAGGTAGACCGAGACTAACTTTCGAAGGCCATGTGAGCAAATTGCTCGAAGAGGGTAGGGTCAAAAGTACTCGGATACCTAGACGTGCATGTATGAAGAAGATAATGAATCTGAAAGAAGCGAAAGAGGTTTGTAAGGATCGTGACACTTGGCGATCTGTTCTCTCTGGCTACCCCGTCAGGGATTGTGCGTGAAGATAAGTTAAGTTAAGTTAAAACGCACGATATTAGTTGAATTTATTTCACATCCAAATAAAGTCCTAAAGTGGACTTGATGAAGTGAGGCTAATATCTAGTAATTTGAAAGCTAGTAAGAGTTTCTTTCTAAAGTTTGAATTCATTTTAATTAACAAACAGTTTCGTACGAGGTTACCCCGTCAGTTAATTAAGGGTTATTTACGCTACGGTACAGAAATGTTTAATAATTATACGTGGTAGAGCCATGCTGCAGCTATATTAGTAGTATAGTTGTAGCACAAATGGGTCGGCTCAGCCGGGAAGGACCACGCTCTCACAGAATACTAGAGTACATTGGCAGCTTGTTACTGCTGTGTTTCGTGTGGTGAGTGTAGAGAAACGGAGACACATTTTTCTGAAAAAAAAGAGGCATTCCATCTTAGCCCTCACGGATGACGACGCATCTGCATTTTGATTCTTTATTGAGAATAAATGTAGATGTCTATGAGTCACAGCAACCACTTAACATGAGGTGGACTATGTGCTCGTTTGTCACCCTATCTTATAAAAAAGAACTTTTATATTAACCGTGTTTTTACCCCAATCAACCAACAATCAATTAAAACTAACATGTCTTCTTTTTTAATATACTTCCAGAGATATAAAAATACAACATGGCTGTTGCTTAAAATTTGCATTAAAATAATATTAAACCAAGTTGAAATATTTCTTCTGTCAAAATCGGCACAGAAAATGCAAAACAATGTGGATACATTAAAACGCTCCCTGGCAAAACTTCTAACTTACTCACTTCAAGGTATGTTTTTCCCTTAATTTTCAGTTAAGTTTAATACTCTTTTCCTGGTCTATTAAGGTTAGAACTATCGAACAACAACAAGTAGGCCAACAAATACCTAGGCTACAACTGAATTTAGAATTGATAATTGTTATAGAAATTTTCGGAAGAAGAAATACTAAAAAAAATTAGTTTTTGCACTTACATACACACTGTTTTATAATTTGGTAAGAATGTTACTTTGGCTCAGTAAAGATCCGTCAAGAACGGATTCAGCATAATTTGGAAAGTGGGTTGGGGGGAGGGTATTTTATATAAATATCCCTTTTTTGTCTCCGTGCAGTGGTGAGTATGAACCCACTACCTTATATCTTCCTGTGGGTGTCGTAAGAGGCGACAGAAGGAAATAGAGGCAGAAGATGGGCAGCAGAATCTTTCTGATAAAAGCAAAAATCAATTTAAAAAAAAACTGCGGTTGCCAGCCCACTTGCCAAGCGTGGCAACTATGGTAATATATCCCCCATAAGTAACGACACTAATAAACGTCCCCCAGTCCCCAGTGGCCCCGCTATTTGTGGCTACGGTGGCTACAGTGGTAACGACGGGGCAGGGGATGCTAAAAATCTCCGGTGGAGGTTCGGTTGCGGCCTACGACGACTCGACCTGACAACTTATAACGCACGCACTCTAAGGACTAAGAAGAAGATCCTGGAGCTGGAACAGGAGATAGACAAGTTGCGCTGGAATATTATACGATTATCCGAGGTCCGAAAAGAGGGTGTGGATACGGTAATCAGGGGTGAACATGTGTCACAAGGAGTTGTCGGATTAATCATCCACAAGTCTCTTGTTAACAACGTTGTAAATATTGGGGGTGTGTCGAAGTGTTGCGTACCTTATACTCAGAATTACCAAACGGTATTTGCTAAAGGTTTTTTTTATAGGATAAGGATGACAAACGAGCACAAGGTCCACCTCATGGTGAATGGTTGCTGCGGCCCATAGACATCTACATTTATCCTCAATTAAGAATAAAATGTAGATGCGTTGTCACCCTTGAGGACTAAGATAGAATATCTCGTTTCCAGTAAAAAGGGTATCCGGTTCTCTACACTCACCATACGAAGCACAGCAGCGTTAAACTGCTATTTTACGCTGATATTCTGTGAAAGCGTGGTCCTTCCCCGGTCGAGCCGACGAATATAGCTGCAGCATGGTTCTACCACGTATAAAAAAGGCTGCTAAAGGTCAAACAAGTTTATGCACCAACTGGGGCACATACCGATGAGGAGGTGGAGGAAATGTATTAGGAAATCTCTAGAGCCATGTATTTCTCCAAAACCCACTATACGGTGTTAATAAGAGACTTCAATTCAAAACTAGGCACAAGAGAGAAGGGTGAGGTGGATTTAGGGAATTTCGTAAAAGAGAAAAGAAACCCAAAGAGCCAGCAGCTGGCAGATTTCATGGAGAAAGCCCTTCACAAGTCCACTGCTGAACATAGGCCTCCCCCAAAGAATGCCACAAAGCACGGTCCTGAGCCACCTGCATCCATCCATCTAGTGGGGGGACGCCCTACACTTCGTCCGCCGGTACGAGGCCGCCACTCGAGAACCTTTTTTCCCCAACGGTTGTCGGTTCTTTGAGCTATATGGCCGTCCCATTGCCACTTCAGCTTACTAATCCGTTGAGCTATGTCGGTCACTCTGGTTCTACTGCAGATATCCTCATTTCTAAGTTTCTCTCCGAGAAACTCCGAGCATAGCACTCTCGCTGAGCGACCTTGAGCTTCGACATCCGGCCAGCAGTGAACGACCACGTCTCAGTACCATAAGTCATCGCTGGCAACACGCACTGGTTGTACAGTCTTGTTTTCAAGTTTTGAGGTATAACTGACGAGAAGATATGCTGTAATTTCCCGAACGCTGCCCAACCGAGTTGAATCCGCCGATTGAGCTCTCGGTCGAAGTTGGACTTACCTAGTCGGACTATTTGTCCTAGGTAAACATACTCGTCAACAACTTCGAGCTTAGTGTCTGCAACATCTACCGGCATAGGAGTGACATGGACATTAAACATGATCTTTGTTTTGTCCATGTTCATCTTAAGACCTATCCGTTGGGAAACACTATTGAGGTCATTGGGCATAGTGCTTAGGTCCTCCAGCGATTCTGCCATGAGGACTATATCGTCGGCAAATCGGAAGGTGAGTGATGTACTCGCCATTGATGTTGATACCGTATCCTTTCCAGTCCAGAAGCTTGAAAACGTCTTCCAATGCAGCGGTGAAGAGTTTCGGGGATATCACGTCACCCTGTCTTACACCTCTCTGCAATTGGATAGCTTTCGTAATCTGGTTCTGTACTCGGATAGCCATCGTAGCTCTACTGTACAAGCACTTCAGCACTTCGATATACCGACAGTCAACTTGGCATCGCTGAAGGGACTGCAGCACCGCCCAAATTTCGACGGAATCAAAGGCTTACTCATAGTCCACATACGCCAGACATAGTGGCAAATTGTAATCTTCGGACTTCTGTACAATTTGCCAAAGGGTATGTATGTGGTCTATGATGCTAAAGCCTTTTCGGAAACCAGCTTGTTCGGGAGACTGGAAATCGTCAAGTCTGCGCGCGAGACGATTCGTAATGACTCTCGAAAACAGCACGTAGACGCGGCTCAGAAGGGAAATCGTTCTGTAGTTCTTCAAGAGGGTGTTGTCACCTTTCTTGAAGAACAAGATCACCGCACTTCTGCTCCACGCCTCCGGTGTAGTGCCACCATGGAGAACGGAATTAAAGAGCTTCTGAAGGACTTCATGTATCGGTCTTCCACCCGCTTTCAGAAGCTCCACTGTAATCCCATCCTTGCCTGGGGCCTTGCCGTTTTTAAGGTGCTGGAGAGCCATTCTAATCTCGCTCAGACTGACGTCCGGGATATCATCGGAATAGTGTCGGATAAGACTTGCTCTTGGATCGTTACTCACACTTACGTGTGGCTCCAACGATGATGTGTACAGCTGCCCATAGAACTTCTCAATCTCACTCAAAATCTCAGGTGTCCCGGAAACGACGCTGCCACACTCGGTCTTCAGCATTGATAGTTGGCTCTTTCTAGCAGACAGATCTCTAGCAAAGACTTTGGAGCCCTGGTTCCGCTCGATCGCTTCTTTAATACAAGCTGTATATACATAGGATATGTTTACAAACGAGCACACAGTCCACCTGATGGTAAGTGGTTACTGTGACCCATAGACATCTACATCTATCCTTAATAAAGAATCAAAATGCAGATGCGTTGTCACCCGTTAGCACTAAGATGCAATAATCTCTTTTCCAGTAAAAAAGGTCTCCGGTTCTCTACACTCACCTTTCCAAACACAGCAGTGTTAAGCTGCTATTTTACGCTGGTTTTTTGTGAGAACGTGGTCCTTTCCCGGTCGAGCCGAGCAATTCATGCTACAACTATACTACTAATATAGCTGCAGCACAGCTCTACCACGTATAAAATACCACGTATAAATATACATATAACAAATTTGTAGAAAAGTCGTGTATTTAGTTCTAATATATTCTTGAAAAAACAACTCCAGGGTACTAAATAAAGGGTTCTGAAGCCAAATTAGTGGTTTTTAGAATTTTTGTTTGTCTGTCTGTCCGTATATTACGGGCCGTGTCGCTAGCCGTGAGACTTCATCATGGCACGGGAGCAAAACGTGTACGATTCCCTCGACGATGCATCTGTTATAGAAAATCTTACGTGCTGACTTAACACGTGTCCGTTAAAGTCGTTAAAAATAACTTTGTGGGGAAAACTAGATGTTGGAGTAATTAAAATAGTCGTGGAGATGTGAAAACCGTTAATATGCATTGAAACATTGCAGCATACTCTATTTTTCTGCCAACTAAATACTATAGGTAATAAGAAGCACAGTAGTGAGACGTACATTAGCCGCTACTTTACTTTTTTACCTTTAATGAGATTTATAAATCAGCTTATAATTTAAGATAGCTTTCATATTTTCGGGCATATTAAGATATTTGTGACAGTCCTGGTTTTATAGCTCATATGAATATATGTAAATAAACAGGCTCTTGCAAAGATTTGTTGTCTATCAGATCCGATATAAAGGTTGAGGAGATCCTAACCATGTTGACATACTTTAGACTTCCCGGAGCGTCGGTGCTTCACTTGAAAGATATGTTTTTACGCGGGTTTTTATGGAATTTTCATACAAAGATGCGTAAAAAACCACGTAAAAAAAGTTAAAATTAAACGTGATAAAATCCGTTATTCCATGTGTAGTATACTTTATAGAACTGTATTTATAAAATTTTGAAGTCAATTCGAACGTAAAAAAAAATATCTACATCTATTTTATAGTGATAAGCAATATTAATTAGGACCAATGATATGAATAAAATATCTCAAATAAACATTATAGCGTAAATTGATAGAAGACCATGAAATTCATCATTATTTTGTTAAAACAAAATTAACTGTATTAAGATGGAATGTAAAGAGTAAAATGTAAATAATAATAATACATTTTCATTCCAAGACAATTTACCTTTCTTATGGATACATCGGAAGACACTCCCGATATAAAAAATAGTAGATGTTTGTAGACATTATATTCACGTGTTCCAGTATATTATATCTATGTCAAATACCAATCATCTAGTCTAATAGAAGTGATCAAATTTTGGAACAGCATGTGATAATGTTTCTAAATTCAAGCTCACGCGAGTGAAGCCGCGGGTAAAAAGCTAGTTTTATAAAATTTATAATGAATTTTTTTTTCATTAATATAATCTTTCATTTATGCCCAGCGAACCGAATGTTTTTACTCTTTTACTTAATAATATAAAACGAAATGGTTTAATTTGTTTGTCTTTAGAAACAACTCAACCGATCCGAAAAATACTTTATAAATAGAATGGACTCTCTGTGAGTGAGATAGGCTTTACTTTATTTTGTTAAAAATTTGTTTTCAATTCGAAACGCTACTAGCAGATTTATTGACGTGCTCTGACCAAACATGAATATTACATATTATTCATCCGTAGATCTAATAAAGTAAGTGATACGGTATACGTAGCCTTTATATTCAATCCGCAATAACTTTATTTTTGTCAAAAATTAATTAATTGAATATTATTAGGAAATTTTGAATTATTTTTGTTAGACAAAATATTATACATTTATATACGCTAAGAATTATTTTCTGCCGACTTTCAAAAAGGAGACGGTACTCAATTCGACTGTATGTTTTTTTTATTGGTGTTACCTCATAACTTTTTAATGGTTGAACCGATTTCGATGCTTCTTTTTTTATTTGAATGCTGGTAGTTTTCGTGTGATCCCGTATGAATTTGATCAAGGGCAGACTAATAGTTTTTCAGTTATTCTTAATAACTTATATTGAAGTCGGCTGTACAACATTTTTAATTTTAAATTATATTATCTGGGAAATTTCATAGTGTATACCCTGTTCAGCATGTCAATTGGTCGTATATTTTAGGAGATATTGAAAGATAAAAATTTGCTGTGTGGTCGCGGCGCAAGAGAATCTATCACTCCATCTCGTTCCATGTGTATAGTAAGTGGCAACTATGAGTATTGTCAGAAAAAAAAAATAGTTTGATGGTTGCTAATGTACCTATCATGTTTCCCTCAGGTGAATAATAACCAGACTGCTGACGAGCAACAGCGTCAAAGTAGCGCGACATCTGACACTGCGAGCGTCAACCAGCCTGCCAACCGTGACGATTAGGACTAACTTTCATTATGTTCATCTATGGCCATCTACGGAATAATGAATACGAAAAAAATTATAATAGCCTACTACTCTCAGTTAAGTTATAGCTTACTTAAGTAGTGACAGCAACATTAAACGTCCCTCTCCTCAGCACAGAACTCCACTCATTTCTGAGAGAGTAATGGATTATGCAATTGGTAGTGCATGTTGTCGCACTTCATATGCCTGAGACATTCATATTTCCTCGCGATGTTTTCCTTCGCCGCTAAGCACCTGGTAAATATTAATTGCTATTAGCCATGGTATCGCACGGACTAAGCGCTCGCCGTTAATTTTGTAATGTTTACGCGAACGACCCGTGTCCTTCCCACGCTTAATATATAAAAATAAAAAAATATTTATTTTCAGATATTGAAATATACAGAGCTACAAAAGACCTGCTTCGATTTGTTTCCAAACGTCCGTTACAGATCCGGGCATTTGGATCCATTGTAGTGGACATGAGCTTACCGCCAACGTGCATCATGCTATTTACCTCTTATACAGTTATTGCATTACAGTTTAATAATGTATTGTAACACCATTACAGTTTGTTTGTAGCGAAATATACTTTTTCTCTTTGCGTGCACACTTAATAGCATTTTATTTTTTTCGTTATCATAAATATTTGTTACATTTGAAACCTTTAATTTGCATCACAGACTGATATACTGATGATAATGAAAAATTTAATTTTTATTTCAAAACGAAAAATATTTCCACTTATTTTTAATTTACAACGTTTTGGGTGCTACAAACAATTCACTGACTATGAAATTGTATGAGTTCAGTTGTTACGTCTGTGCCTACGCATCTGCTAATAATGGATATTTTGTTCGAGGGCACAGAGATGCTTGATACCCTGATGTCTGCGAAGATGGCTGGGTGCTACCACATGCTGAGTCTTGTAGATACCACCATTTTTCTTGGAATCACACTAGACGCGAAGCTTCAATGGAGCCCCCATATATCAAAACTAGCAAGCAGACTTAGTTCTGCAGCATATGCTGTAAAAAAGATTAGAAGTTTAACCAGTGTTGAAACAGCTAGACTAGTTTACTTCAGCTACTTCCATAGCATAATGTCGTATGGTATTTTGCTATGGGGACACGCAGCTGACACTGAAATTATATTTGTTTTGCAGAAGAGGGCCATAAGAGCAATTTATGATTTAAAGCCTAAAGATACGCTGCGACAAAAATTTAAGGAAATTAATACATTAACTTTGGCCTCTCAATACATTTATGAAAATGTAATGTACGTACACAAAAATAAAAGTAGTTTTACAAAAATAAGTGATATTCATTCTGTAAATACTAGGAACAGACACAAGCTAGTAGTACCAGTTACTCGACTCCATCGAGTCAGTAATTCATTCTTGGGGCGATGTATACGCTTTTACAACAAAATTCCAGAAAATATACAAAGTTTGACCTGTTCAAAGTTCAAAAACTTTATTAAACTAAGTTTGTATAAAAAGGGTTATTATAATATTAAGGAATTTATGGATGATAATAACCCCTGGAAATGAGGTGATCGCTACCAAGCTATTTCTAATTTGTTGTGTTGTTAATTTGTGTAACATCATGATTGTAAGCTGTTATTTTAAAAAAAAAAGTCCCGCTGGGTTTCTTGCTGGTTCCTCCCAGGACAGAGGTTTTTTCCGAACCAGTGGTAATCAAACAAAAGAGTGACTTTCAATAAGTATTATTTATAATCTATATTGAATAAAAAAGTTTCTGTTTCTGTTTCTGTTTCTTGTGATCCTATAATTTAAAAAATACTACTGATAAACTAAATTCTAACCCAGGCATACTACTCCCAGACTTTACAATAATATAAGCTTGTCTTGCGTAGATCAAACCAATAATTTATATTTAAAAGTGGAATGTCGCCTGAATTGAATATGGCAACAAAATGTCAAACACCTGAGACCATCTGTGATCGTGGTGTTATAAATTACCAAAGCACCCGAAACGTAGGGAAATAAAAAAGTTATGAAAGAAGTGTATCACACCATTAATTAGTGTAATACCTACATTATTAATTAGCAGTCATGTATAATGTAAATGTTCATGTTATGCCTATGTAATTGTTGGGAGCACTAAGCACGAAGTACTTGAAGAATATGTTTGCTTAGGTCTAAATTGACCGACTAGATAAGTCCAACTTTGACCGAACGGTCAATCGATCGATTCTACTCGGAAGATTACGACACATCTTCTCATTACGTTAAATTTAAAAACAAGAGTGCATAACTCACTGCTGGCAGTATGAGGAAGCTCAAATTTTTTTTATAGGATAAGGGTGACTGGATAAGGGTGGGTGGTTGCTGTGGCCCATAGACATCTACATCTATCCTCGTATGCAAATCAAAATGCAGATGCGTTGTCAGCCGTGAGGACTAAGATGGAATGCCTCTTTTCCAGTAAAAAGGGTCTCCGGTTCTCTACACTCACCATACGAAACACAAAAGCATTAAGCCGCTATTTAACGCTGGTATTCTGTGAGAGCGTGGTCCTTCCCCGGTTGAGCCAACCCATTCGTGCTACTACTATACAATTAATATAGCTGCAGTGTGGCTCTACCACGTAAATAAAAGATTGCTCTCTTTTACACAAAGAAGGGGGTGCTAAGAATCTCCGGTGGACACGGACACGGTAATCTTCGAATCCGGCAACTTGCTCTATCACCGGGAGGGCGACCATCTGTCCCAAGGAGGTGTCGGATTTATCGTCCACAAGTCTCTCGTTAACAACGTTGTAAAGATCGGGAGTGTGTCGACGAGGGTTGCGTACCTTATACTCAGAATCACCAAACGGTATTCGCTGAAGGTCATACAGGTTTACGCACCAACCTCGGCACACCCCGATGAAGAGGTGGAGGAAATGTATGAGGATATCTCTAGAGCCATGCATTCCTCCAAAACCCAATATACGGTGTTAATGGGAGACTTTAATGCAAAACTAGGCACAAGAGAGAACGGTGAGCTGAAAGTAGGGAAATTTGGAATAGGGCAACGGAACCCAAGGGGCCAGCAGCTGGCCGACTTCATGGAGAAAGAGGGACTCTTTATGATGAACTCTTTCTTCCAGAAGCGGCCCCACAGGAAGTGGACCTGGTCGAGCCTCGACGGTTCGACAAAAAATGAGATTGACTTCATTATGACGACCAGACGACAACTGTTCAGTGATGTCTCCGTGATCGCGAGGCTGAAAACTGGTAGCGATCACCGAATGGTTAGAGGCACACTGAACCTAAACGTTAAGTTGGAGAGGTCTCGTCTAATGAAGTCAACGCTCCGTCCCCCTCGTGCTCTAAGCCAAAGTCCCGAAACCTTTCAGCTCGAGTTACAAAACCGTTTTCAGTGCCTAGAAGACTGCAATGAAGTGGACGATATGAATGACAAGCTCGTGGAAACTGTCCATGCGGTCGGAGCTAAGTTCTGCAAGACCCGCCGCAGAAGAACACAAAAACTCTCCGATCACACTATTAATCTCATGGCTGTTAGACGGGAGATGAAGCTACATTCTTCAACAGACTTGACAGCATACAGGCATCTGAACAGACAGATCTCCAAATGCATGCGGCGGGACTTACGCAACTTCAATACAGCTCGTATTGAAGAAGCGATCGAGCGGAACCAAGGCTCCAAAGTCTTTGCCAGAGATCTGTCTGCCAGAAAGAGCCAACTGTCAAAGCTGAAGACAGAATGTGGCAGCATCGTTTCCGGGACACCTGAGATTTTGAGTGAGATTGAGAGGTTCTATGGGCAGTTGTACACGTCATCGTTGGAGCCACACGCAAGTGTGAGTAACGATCCAAGAGCGATTCTCATCCGACACTATTCCGAAGATATCCCGGACGTCAGTCTGAGCGACATTAGAATGGCTCTCCAGCACCTTAAAAACGGTAAGGCCCCAGGCGAGGATGGAATTACAGCGGAGCTTCTGAAAGCGGGTGGAAAACCGGTACTTGAAGTCCTTCAGAAGCTCTTTAATTCCGTCCTCCATGGTGGCATTACACCGGAGGCGTGGAGCAGAAGTGCGGTGGTCTTATTATTCAAGAAAGGTGACAACACCCTCTTGAAGAACTACAGACCGATTTCCCTTCTGAGCCGCGTCTACGTGCTGTTTTCGAGAGTCATTACGAATCGTCTCGCGCGCAGACTTGACGATTTCCAGCCTCCCGAACTAGCTGGTTTCCGAAAGGGCTTTAGCACCATAGACCACATACATACCCTTCGGCAAATTGTACAGAAGTCCGAAGAGTACAATTTGCCACTATGTCTGGCGTATGTGGACTATGAGAAAGCCTTTGATTCCGTCGAAATTTGGGCGGTGCTGCAGTCCCTTCAGCGGTGCCAAGTTGACTGTCGGTATATCGAAGTGTTGAAGTGCTTGTACAGTAGGGCTACGATGGCTATCCGAGTACAGAACCAGAGTACGAAACCTATCCAATTGCAGAGAGGTGTAAGACAGGGTGACGTCATATCCCCGAAACTCTTCACCGCTGCATTGGAAGACGTTTTCAAGCTTCTGGACTGGAAAGGATACGGTATCAACATCAATGGCGAGTACATCACTCACCTTCCGATTTGCCGACGATATAGTCCTCATGGCAGAATCGCTGGAGGACCTAAGCACTATGCTCAATGACCTCAAGAGTGTTTCCCAACGGATAGGTCTTAAGATGAACATGGACCAAACTAAGATCATGTTTAATGTCCATGTCACACCTATGCCGGTAGTTGTTGGGAACACTAAGCTCGAAGTTGTTGACGAGTATGTTTACCTGGGACAAATAGTCCGACTAGGTAAGTACAACTTCGACCGAGAGGTCAATCGACGGATTCATCTCGGTTGGGCAGCGTTCGGGAAATTACGGCACATCTTCTCGTCAGGTATACCTCAAACCTTGAAAACGAGACTGTACACCCAGTGCGTGTTGCCAGTGATGACATACGGAACTGAGACGTGGTCCTTCACTGCTGGCCGGATGAGGAAGCTCAAGGTCGCTCAGCGAGCTATGGAGAGGGCTATGGTCGGAGTTTCTCTGCGTGATAAACTTAGGAATGAGGATATCCGCAGTAGAACCAGAGTAACCGACATAGCCCAACGGATTAGTAAGCTGAAGTGGCAGTGGGCCGGCCATATAGCTCGAAGAACCGACAACCGATGGGGAAGAAAGGTTCTCAAATGGTAGCCTCGTACCGGTAGGCGAAGTGTAGGGCATCCCCCCACGAGATGGAGTGACGACCTGGTAAGACATGCAGGAAGTCGATGGATGCAGGTGCCTCAGGACCGTGCTTTGTGGCATTCTTTGGGGGAGGCCTATGTTCAGCAGTGGACTTGTGAAGGGCTGTAATGATGATGATGATGATGACACAAAGAAGAAATATTTTACTTGGTTCCCTCTTTTTATAACTTTAATATTTATTGCTACTAAGTGTATGGCTACGATGCTCGATATTTTAAGTACTTTATTCAATTTAAATGATTGTTCAACAAATCATAATGAATTGAATTTTTATCAGTCACGATCCATGATGTACCCAGAATTCTAAGTAAATCCATTAGGGCCAACTCACACTGTGACGAAGTTGTTCACCGATCGATGCCTTGCGGATGTGGCATCGCTTTGTGTCAAGCGACACAAGTTAAGGCAGCACGGTCCCTCACAAAATCAGTAATTTCGAACATCTTCATTACTTCTTCAGCCTTCCTTTCTACCTAGGATTCCAACTGGGTTTTGTTAAATCCTCGTACTTACTCATGCCGCCAAGCAGCAGAGTGCACCCACTTCTATGTCCCGATTGGAAGGGAAAGAAAACCGGTTTACAATCTGTGAGGTGCAGCTTAACACTGCTGTGTTTCGTTTGATGAGTGTAGAGAACCGGAGACCATTTTTACTGGAAAATAGGCATTCCATCTTAGTCCTGACGGGTGATAACGCATCTGCATTTTTTCGCAAACGAGGATAGATGTAGATGTCTATGGGCCACAGCAATCAATTACCATCAGGTGGACTGTGCGCTCGTTTGTCACCTTATCCTATATAAAAAAAAAATCATGGGCTGTACTTATTCGCACCGTCGTGTGGATTATTAGGTTGTTTGTCACTCCAATTTCATGTGAGAAATCCGCGATGCACTGTCGCCCGCCGTATCAGTGTGAGTTGACCTTTGTGTGTATTTTATTCATAAACGTTCTGGAAGTAATAGTTACCTAATTCATTAATATAATGTTTCATTAATATAATGTATTATTTATGAAAGTGAATTATGTTTCATGGTAAAAAGTTATGATAGTAATATTACGGTATTTCATTATAATTTGATGCAAACAGTCTCTATAAACTCTAGTGACTGACAAAATATTTATTTTGAAACCTTTAAAACGTATATTTGTCGTTGAAAATTTACTTTCCATATTTAGAAACATATATTTTATGGAAAAAGATATTCGAAGTATTTAATTTTATTTATTGTTATTAGAAATTTCCGTATGGTTTTCAAATATTATAGCGTCCCCGTAGTTGGAAAATTAAATAACTCTGATTTTGTAGTTCTGAGATAAACGCGATTTAGTGTTTTTTTTTTTCAGTTAATGTACATTTGTTAAAAAATGTGAGACAATTTTACCGTCGGTAATTTGATATTTTGTGGACCTGATTACCTTTTACATTATGTTTTAACAAACTGAACTCAATCTTTAACTATAACTAAATAACACAAAAAAAATCAAGTTGTTTAATTTTGCCACAACTGTTATTTAAAACGTACTACAATTATCTACTTATTTCGGCTATTTATTTAGTTTTCCTACAAACTAAATACATTTGGTAGAGTAAAATTTGGTGAAATAAATGCATTTATTGAATTTATCAAACTCGAAATATTTTGAAATGTAAAATTTAGTGGCATTGTACGTTATTATTACTTCGATATTTTTTTAACTATTATTGGTCTCATATAAAATAAAAGTTGTTTTATGATATTAATAAAGTTATATTCAGGAAGAAATAGAAAAGTACAATAAAATTTAGAAAAAGTGTATTGTAATCAGATACTTATCTTACCACAAACTTAAAAAAATAAACAAAATTACACCAATTATAACAAGTGGAAACAAATTAACTTAAAGTATTCTTTCAAATCAAAACAGAAAATAATTTGAACCCATAAAATAACATTATGGCTCTAAAATCAGACCTAATTATAAAAGACGTACTTAAGTAGTAAGTAAAAAAATTATGAAAAACTTAAAATAGGTATCAATTAGAACTAAAAAACATAAGTTTGTATCAAATCAAAACATAATTAAAACAGTACTATAATACTATTCTGTGTTAAAACTCAAAAAATTAAAATTGTTTGCACCTAAGCCATAAGTCAGTATTCAACTAAAAAATGAACACCAAAACTATAGTACAGCAATCATTATAAAACTTTCAAACGACTCAATTTAACTAAAAATATTTCGTAATAAGGTAAGTAAAACACAACACTTAAATAAAACTCAAAACTCAAAAAATAATATGACACTAATCAGGTACATTGAGTACACCAATCAACAACTTATTCTAATATCAATTTACTTAGAACTAAAAATACTTTCATAACAAAATAAAACATAATTTAAATTCAAAACAATTGAAATGGCTGTACCTAATCAAACACAGCGTAAATCCCTTCAAAGTTACGAGTGAACAGGCTCCTTCTGGGTAAGCTCGCTCCATCGTAGACTTTGTCTCTGTCATCTCTGACCAAGACTAGAGTCAAGAGCAAACACATCACAAAAAAAAAGTATAATTTAAAATTAAATAACAAATGTATTTAAAAACATGACTCTAAAAATAAACATTACGTTAATTTAACAATGTAAAAACCCTATTGTAAAATCATTTTACTCATGCTGTTAGGGTTTAAAAGTTTAGTTTAGTTTTCAGCAATATGTAGAGCAAGGGGCCAAAATAAGCTTACTCATCGACTTCAGATGAATCAGTGGAGCGTGATGGACCCTGGTCTTCGTATGAACATGGTAAACTTTCGTACCAGCCGTGAAGCTCTTTAGGAATTATATTTTTCTTACAGAGCTGTAAAAGGTCTTTCTTTTTTTGTTTTGTTATAGGAAGACATTGTTTATATGCCCGGGGAAGATCTTCAGTATTTATAGTTGGCATTTCAGAGTTTGGAGTTCTCCTAGTCGGTCTCCCTGGTTTACAAAGAGTATTTAGTAAGTTATATGGCCCATCGTAATCGTATCTGTATTTAATAAAACCAGGTAATTCTTTTTCAAATCTAAGACATTTTATTTTCAACCAGCACACTTTCTCCCCATTCTCCGCTATAGTTTTGTTTTTAATTATTTTCGAAGCAAGTGCTTTTACATCAATCATGTCTTGATATGATAATTCAGTTACATTATATGGAGTTACATTTTTATTTTGTCTTTTTGATCGTGCCCGTAGCATAATTCCTTTCCAATCTATTATAGAATACGTGTCTGTGTACATTTTTTCTTTTTCTATGGCACTATGCATTGAATCTACTTCCATAAAACTATGATCACTTTCTAGATACTTCTGTTCTAATACTTTGATTGTCTCATGCGTATGTACTAAGTACAATAAAAATGCTGCTATGTACTGATTTCGATTTTGTCCCGAGCACGTGTCGGAATAAATGGTGACGTGCGTTAAAACCTCTGGGAGATTCTTAATCCATAAATGAATAGCAGATGCTATTTCAACACTGCCTCTTTTGCCGTTTATTTCCGTCCAGATCATACAGTGAGCATCGTTCTGTGGAGGTTTAAACTCATAAATAGATAAATTATATAAATTTAATTTTCTGGAATAATACATTAGACTATCTGCAGTCGATGGAATCTGCAGTAAACTTTGCAAGTCCATGGTGACACACAAATATGATTTATCTTCTCCCGACTTCTTTTTATCCAGCTCTTTAGATCTATAAGATGCCTCTTTTCGCTCTATATGTTGAGTATACTCATTTTGAATATTTATATTAGTTTTATCTTTTTTGTAATTGTTACAAATGCTACATTGATCCTTCTTGGGGTGATAGAACGCTAAATTGTATTCTGTACCAAACACTTTCTTATAAATGTTTAATTTTACTGTCACTTTATTGCTTTCTTTCATTTTCTGCAAATACAAATCATACATTTTTGATATTGACAAGGTAGGTTCTAAGTATTTCCTGGTTGTTTTTTTTCTACAGTAATGGGAATCAATTACAGGAAAACTTTCAATGTGATTTTTTACCTCTTGTATCTGTTCTCCAGGAGTTTTGTTTGCAGGCGCTTGTCTGCCACGATTATCCATTTTTGTAAATACACCATGATCATCCACATGTTTTACTGCAGTTTCGATTGGACCAGTAGAAATGCAAAGAGTGGACATAAAATAGTTCTTGCATACTCGTTCAAATACAGTCTTATTTTTATAGAAACCGTATTCTCTGCTAGAACTTCTTTGTTTTTCGATCGGTACAGATTTTCTTATAGTCTGCACTGGCTTAATGATGATGCGCTTAAGCAAAAACTCTTTTTGCAGCTTAAAATCTTGTATAGACCAATAGGATTTGCAAAGTTTCTCACGCTCGTTTTGTGTAAACTTTTCTGTGCATTTCTGGCGACAATTTTGGCTGCATTTAGGACTTTTAGGTAGTTTAGCTGCAAGAAACTTTCCAGTTTTACTCTTATATGGCAAACATTTTCGTTTCTTCTCCAACTCTTTATTTCTTTTCCAGTTTGTTTGATTAGTATTTTTCCATCTGTAGATTTCTTTTTCCTTATTTCCTGTTACTTTTTCTGAATCTGTTGTCTCAGCGATTGTGATATTGTGTTCCATGATCCTTCTATCACGGTTAACTTGTGAGACTTGGTCAATAGAAGTTTCAATAATAGCGCGAGTTGTTGTAATATTACCTGTTTCATCTTCAGAGTCACTCGACAAAATGGGGTTTATTCGTTCAAATCTCTTAACTCTTTTTTTCTTCTTAGCCACTGAAATATTGATGTTTATTAAAGAACTACTTTTCCTTTTTATTTTATTTTCTTCTTCTGTGTCCGGAATCCATGAAGATCCAGAATCAGAAAAAGGTTCTTCATCTGTCGAAGGTGGCATTGGTTCGATACCCGAAATTGGACTTGACCCTCTGATAGGCGAACTGACATCTTTATAGTTGTATAATATTATGTTGTCATCTTCATTTAAATTAATATTACTGCTACACAAAGACATGGGACTGATATTTACAGGCATAGGTGCTGATTGGGGTGGGTTAATGTTATTAGTAATCATTTCGCTAGCCATTATTGATGCTGGAGCCGATTCGCATGTAATTATCTTAAATACGTCATGCTCAGGAAGCTTAGGAACATCAGTAACCAACAGCCCATCGGGCATTTTTTCTATCGTAATATCAACAGCAAAATTTATGTCGTTGCAAACATTTTTGTTCATTTCGGATGGTAATTTCTGGCATGTTATAACATTATGTTTTTGTGGGCTGACAATAATGGTACTTTGGTCCTGTTGTTTGATTGTCTTATATTTGTCCTAAAACAATAAGAAGCAATAATATAGTAGGTATTTAATGAGGAAAAAAGTAAAATAATAATCATGTGACAAGAGTTTATGCAGTCAAATTTGTCAAGTCAAGTCAAGGCACACGTTTGGTCATCAAGCTTAATAAGCCTCGGAATTCGCCAACTTTGATACGGTTAGATACATTAGGTATCTAGGTTGGATAGGTCACTTAGGTAATAATGTCAGCCATACAACAAGAGTTAGGTACTTAAAACGAGACCACTCCTAAGAACTATCTGAGCACCTAGTAAACAAAACCGCCTAGTAAACAAAACAAAAAAAATCAGTTTGTTAACTAAAAATTATTTTTTTGCTATAGGTACCTTCTTTTTTATGGGGTGGTAAAATCGTCAAATGAGTCCTGCCGCCCATTACTGTCAGACTTGTCAGATTTAAACGTAGGTACCCTACGTAGTTTCACTCTTAAAAGAATATTTAACGAAAAATACCCAACAAATACAATTTGTGTGACAAGCTAAAAGTAACCTTAATTCTTCAACTTAAGAGTCAAAATTCCAATGAAAGCAGAAGAGTTATCAACTTCTCCCACAACTCAAAATGATTGATATTCAAACTCGCATAAGGGAGGAAAAAATAAATAAAATAAATATCAGTACATAGTTATGACATAGTTATTAATTAATGTTGTTCAAACGTTCTTACGGTTAAGAAAGACGTACTTAGTCGTATTATTTCTAATTTCTTAATTTAATTTGCAAAAAAATTGTTCTAAATTATCGTAGGTACATACCTCAGATGAATCTTCTTCCTTTTGACACATTTTCACCATAAATCTACCTCGCGAATCCATTATTGGTCACTCTGACGTCAACGCAATTGAAGGTCACGTATTAGACTAAAACGCACGACACGTGAGCGATGCATCAAACCGCACCCGCTCACCCCCGCGCTCTCCGTCGTCGTTCCCGATCAGAATATTTCGCGCCAAATTCTCTTAAAAATTTAATGATGACTTTCCTCAGGTGCATTTTGTTTTATGGCAATTATAAACAACTTAATTTATTTAATTTTATTTGCCTAGTATCTTATAATTAATCATTATCTAGTTGTAGAAGAAATAGATAACATCAAGTATTTGTAAATTAAGTACGTTATATCAGAATTCGGAATAGCAGAATTAAATAAATAGAGTTATTTAGTTTTCCTAGAACTTAGTTAGTTTTGTGAAAGAATTTTGAAGTTGAGGAAAAATTCAACAACTCATGTTATTTACTTTATTTGACATTCAACTTATCATTGACCACAGTTATTGATTTATTTAATGGGTTATTTATTTTTCCTTTAAAAATATAATATATATAATAGTGTTTGTCTGAAGATATTTATTATTCCATCTGTCCGACAAAAATGGCTATATTTTTGGAATGGAATAAGATACGAAAACGCCTGTAAGGCGGTGTTTTGAAAATAGGGAAAAGTCAATATCGCCAAAATTGGACTTATTTAATTTTCCAACTACGGGGACGATAGTTTGTGTATATTTTCATCCATAGGAGTCTAAAAATTGTTGACGAAAATTTTACTTTAATTACTTACAAAAAAAAAACATATTTTGCTGCCCCTCAATTGCGTGCACAGTCACCATCACAACTAATGCCAATACCACTACATTAGGCTGACACGTATAATAGATTTCCGCAAAGTAATGACTAATTTTACTAATTTTCTTAATTAAATATTTCAGATTACAGTAATGTTGTATCGGCGATTGCATATATCAGCATATTTAAAAAAAAACATTTATAAATGCCAATGTAAGTACGTCATTTGTAAATATTTCAGTTTTCTCTTGACAATTAGGCTTGATATTCTATATTATTTTCACATCCCTAGAATACCAACCGAAGTCAATTTTTAGGCAAAACACTGGCAGTAAGTTCTATCAGTCTTATCGCATAAGCATAAGACCGGAAAAGTTTAAGTTAATAACAACAGAAGTTAATGTAATCAATTTAAAATACTCTGCCTTGCCCCTGCCGATGAGTGCTGGTCCTTTATCTTTATAAGACAATAACATGAGCTAACTGTCCAAAATAACTCATTAAAGTAAAAGTTAATAATTTAACATTTTCATTGACATAAATAAGCCGTAATAGAAATCTGTTGGTTTTTCATCATCTTTAGAAATTGATAGATAATACAGGAAATCGATGGATGCATGTGGCTCAGGATCGTAATTTGTGGCATTCCTTGGGGGAGGCCTATGTTCAGCAGTGGACTTATGAAGGGCTGTAATGATGATGATGATAATGAAGTTCCTCCGCATGCATTTGGAGATCGGTCTGTTCAGTTACCTATATGCTCACACATCTGTTGAAGACTGCAGCTTCCATTCCCGTCTAACAGCCATGAGATTAAGAGTGTGATCGGAGAGTTTTTGTGGGTCTTGCAGAATTTAGCTCCGACCGTAAGCTAAGAGTTTATATCGTCCACTTCATTGCAGTGTTCTAGGCACTGAAAACGGTTTTGTAACTCGAGCTAAAGGTTTCGGGACTTTGGATTAGATCTCGAGGGTGACGGAGCATCGACTTCATTAGAAAAGACCTCTCCAACTTAACGTTTAGGTTCAGTGTGCCTCTAATGATGCACATCTAACCATTCGGTGTTCGCTGCCAGTTTTTACCCTCAAGATTACTGAGACATCACTAAACAGTTGCAGTCTAGTCGTCATAGAAAAGTCTTAATAAAATGTCATAAAAATCAATCGTTATAATAAAATCTCAATTTTCGTCTTCCTATTCTTGTTCTTGTGCCTAGTTTTGCGTTGACGCCTCCCATTAACACCGTATAGTGGGTTTTCGAGGAATGCGTCGCTTTAGATATATCACTCATTTCGTCCACCGCCTCATATTATGACCTTCAACGAATACCGTTTGGTAATTCTGAATATAAGGTATGCAACCCTCGAAGACACACTCACAATTTTACAACATTGTTAAGGAGAGACTTGTTGAAGTTCAATCCGACACCTACTTACAGATGGTTGCCCTCCCGATGATAGAACAGAAGTTGCCGGATTCTAGGATTACCGTGTCCTCCCTCTCCCTTCGAATCTCAGATAATCCTATAACATCTCATCCCAACTTGTCTCTTCTTCCAGCTCCAGGATCTTCTAGTCAGTCCTCAGTGTGATTGCTTTGTATGTTGCCAGGTTGAGTCGTCTTAGGATGGCAACCGAAACTCCACCGGAGATTATTAGCAACCCAGTGCCCCGCCATTACCATGTTCGCCACGGTAGCCAGGAATAGCGGGGACGTTGAGGACTGTGGACCATCTCTTCGTAAATTTTATCATGCATGCATTAGCAAACATCCTCCATGTTTGCTATAGTTGCCACGCTTGGCGAGCGGGTTGTCAACCGCAGGTTTTTTATTGTACGATTGCTGTATTCAGAAAGATGCTGCTGTCCATATTCTGCCCGTCTCCTACTGTCACCTCTTATGACACCTACGGGAAGATATGGGGTAGTGGATATTCTTAAACGCCATTACACGGCTAATTGTCCGACTAGATAAGTAAGTGAGTGAAATCAATCGATCGATTTTACTGTTAGGTAGCGTTCTGAAGATTACGACACGTCTTCTCGTCACGTCAAAATTGGAAAACAAAAGTGCACAACCAGTGCATGTTGCCAGTGATGACAAGGGGATCTGAGACGTGGCCCTTCACTGCTCAGCGAGCTAAGGGCTATATTCGTAGTTTCTCTAGGTGATAGAATTAGAAATGATTACAACACTATCCGCAGAATAATTAAAGTGACCAACATAGTCGAACGGATAAGTAAGCAGAAGTGGAAATGGACTGGATATATAGCTCTAAGAACCGATAACCGATAGACAGGAAAGGTGCTCAAGTAGAAGCCTCGTACCGGCAAGTGATGTGTAGGGCATCTCCTCACTCGATAGAGTAAAATCTGGTAAGAGATGCAGGAAGTCGACGGATGCACGTAGCTCAGGACCTTCCATTGTGGCATTCCTTGAGGGAGGCCTATGTTCAGCAGTGGACTAATGAAAGCTTGATATGATGATGGTGACAAAGTAGTTTTAGTCAGTATATAGTATACGTGTTATTATAAAAAACCATTAAGAGAAATCAGTTCTGATTATATGTTCTTGGTTTTACATAAAATACTACATTTAAAATAAACACTCAATTATGGTTTTTCTAAAAAAATTTTATTTTCTAAATATATTTTCTAATCTATAAAACAAAAAAATAATAAATCATTAGAAAAAATAAATAAAAACGATACTTTTGAAGATTAACCAATGATGAAGGCAAAGTATAATAGCTTTGGCCCAATCATATAGCACGTACTCAGTAAACAAAAATATCGATTAATTCACAGCTATTTGACCCGGCTCGGAGAGGACACGGTCCAATTAAGCTGTTTTGCATTTTGGTATTAAAATTTTCGCAGTTTGCTTCACAGGTGTTTATCAAACCTAAATAAATCACCAAATTTATATTATTTATCGCAAGATACTATAAACGTTTTTATATATAACTAGCTTTTTCTCGCAGCATTGCTTGTGTAGTCTGCACACCATCATTAGTTTTTCATGCCAAAAGTATGAATACAGAATACTTTTAGAATAACCTCATCCCATTTATGAGCACACGTTTCTCTTATTACCAAGAGGTTTTTCTGATCCGACGGACAAACCACGCTGCCTCAAGGTGTGTTAGCGAATTTGATTATGTAAGACATGCATCTGACAAAGGCATGCATCTGAGAATCCAAAATATTTCAAAAAGATTAAAGAGAATTCAGCACAAAGGTGCAAGGATATTTAACCAAAACACATTTAGCACTAATAAAAAAGAAATTAAACGTGTAGTGACAGTGTAAGAATATCCACTGCCCGTGTAGTAAAACGCGACATAGAGAAACAGGAGATGGGCAGCAGCATCTTCCTGATAACAAATCAAAATAATAAAAACTTGCGGCTGCCAATCCGTCTACCAAGCGTGGCTACTATGGTAAAATCCAATCAACTATGAGGCAATCCATGGGAGGCATGTGTTCAGCAGTGGACTTTTATAGCTTGTAAGTCCACTGGGCGGATGGAAAAAAGAAGCATTAACAAAAAAAATATGCAAATGAAAATCATTTTGCCAAAATAAATAGCGAATCCTGTTGCAATCTATTTTAGCTTCAGGCTTTTTATTAATGTAAGCGAAGGTCGTTCTAAACATGAAAGCAAGTTATAGAAACAGGATAGAAAAATATTTTTAAAAATTCTGACGTTTTTACTGCGCACAAATCTTTTAATCTCTTTATTTCTGGAACGAAATGAATAAGCTTTATCCAAATTTCGAAGGTAAACAGAAAGTTACGATCATTTATTCAAGGTTAGTACTACTTAAATGTGATTAATTTAATTGAGCTGACAACCGATGTGAAAGAAGCATTTTCAAGTGGCAACCTCGTATCGGTAAGCGAGTGTAGGGCTCACGGTCAACACACTGTTTTGTGGCACCCCTTTTACGTGGCCTTAAATCTGTGGAAACGTGAATGAATATAATAGTAGATAATAATAATAAATCCTTTATTTCGACCAACAATAGTCATAGATTGTTAGTAAAACTTACTTAGCCTAATGTTAGTATAAAATAAAATAGAAGTTAATATTAAAATGTTAGTCAAAATAGTACTTATCCTATATTAGTAGCTTAACCTACCCCAGCCTCACATAGCGAACTCCAGGTGGGATACTCCTGGTACTGGTGTGTGCACCATTCCAAGTCCTCCAGAGCGGGCTATCCAGCTTCACAGCCAATGCGCTG